CACAATAGGCGAACCGAGTTTCGATCGTATACAAATTGATATCCTTACATAGCTTTATGTCATTTTTCTTCCAACAAAGGAAGAAAAGATAAAGGTTACTAATTAATTCTTTTCCCAAGTGACATAATCTTGAAAGCAAAAGTTACCTTACTAGCATCACAAAGTAGAATTTTCGGGCGCGGATCCAAATTAGTCAAGCCCAAAACGGATATTAAACATCGGAGGAAAAAAGAAGCAAAAGTTACTCTACTAAACTTTTGGCTGTTTCTTATAAAGTAAAAGTAAATCCTACCTTTTGCTTTTTGCTTTGGAATACCAAACTTCTAAACGTATATATTATTGTTGGAGAATAGTTTAAGTATATCATCAACATCCACTTTTTATAAAAAACTGGATTTTGTTTACCTTTTAGGTAATCAAAAGGGGGTCATGTAGATCTAATAAATGTAATTCAGTAAGCAAGAAAATTTTATCTTTTTGTGGAACTTCCATTAAATTGTAATACACATGCATCACCTTTTGTTGTCATTGTGAAAGCAACTAGCTTGTTTGCTTAAAATTGACAACCTAAAGTTACTATAGCCCGTGACATTAGGGACCAAGCAGTCGAGGAAATAAGGATTTTGTGGTTACATATTGCTGCTAATTAAAAAACAGATTTGACGGTTGAAAAGAAATATAGTAGATGAGGGAAGATTTTGGATGGAAAAATACAGATGAATGCAATTAAGCTTTGCCAGATCATAAAATAAATTCTCAAATCTAAAGCACATGGACAGGTTGATTGTACTTAGTCACCTAATAACTTCATTAGTGATTAGTTGGTTGGATGAAGGACAAGGCACCTAAAAATATTATCCCATCTTAACCACAAACGCTCATTTACACTATCCAAAACTTAGAATAGATTGGGATTGTCATAGCTGTCAAAAGGACCCAACCATGGACCACGTCGACCAATATTTTGTTGATTGCATTATAATTTTGGGCTCAATTTGTTGTCAGCATTATACAAATAAGTTTAAAGTTTATTTCCTTTATTTATTTATTTTTTGGTGCAGGTGGGAAGAAAATAATGATAACAATAAAGCAATTCTAAAGTTGGTTAAGGCACATGCAAGCATATGGGGTTGGTATAGGTATAATGTTACGCTAGGTTCTTAATAATGAAATATAATAAGAGCATGAGTTGGAGCTTCTTGAAATATATATATATATATATACTCTATCCGTTCACTTTTACTTGTCACGTTTTGACTTTCACATATCTTAAGAAATAATAAATGAAGTGCATAATTTATCATGATACCCATATTAATTAATGTATATTTTATCGGATTTGAGAAAATAATTTGAAATTAGTAATAAATATTGTGGGTATAATAGGAATTTTTTTTTTATCTTCTCTTGATTAAAGTGATAAATAAAAATGAAAATTTATTTTTAGTATACATGACAAGTAAAAGTGAGGTGAGAGAGTATAATTAAGAGTTGAATAAGTCATACTGTTATAAGGGGTTAACTTATTAGATTGGGCTAGGACAAATAAATTCTAACTACCCTAGCTCATTAGAAAATAAAGAGAGAGATTGTGATGTTGACAGTGACGAGGAAGGTGAGGAACTAAATCTTGAATTCAAAGGGGCAAAACATTAGCTACTATTTTGTCAGCCATTATTGCAGCTTTGCTTTGCTGGTAACAGGGCACCAGTCTGGAATTTAAGGTGCAAGTATCACCAATGCCTATTAACTACCCCCAAACCCTCTCCTAACCCCTAACCTAACCCCTCCACTCTTCTTCACAAAAGGGGAAAAAAAAAGGGAAGCACAAAAAGGAGGATGCCAGAGGAAATGTATAGCTGCCTACTTTAGTTTTTGGCATTTTTACAAAATGGATTCAATGGGACTGAAAAGAAAGTGGAATCAAGCAAAGATAACCTTCATTGTGATTGTGATGCATCTAAATGTGTGGCCCAGTGGTTAACAAAATAGAGGAAAATCATGGAATTTCATGTTTAAAACTAACTCGTATTACTGAGTTTGACTTAGGGGTGGATGTCGATCGGTGCAGTTCAGTTTTCACGAAGTTCAGTTCAAGTTATTCAACTTTCGGTTATTGATTTGATGTACCGAAAACCGAATCAATATAAATACGATTTTTTCGCGTTAGTTTTTTATTTAGTTCGATCGGTTTTGCCCCGCCCTTTGGTGTTTTCCTCTACTAAAAATCAAGTTTCAGGTATTAAAGATTACCTTAATTTTTCTATTCAATTTCGCATGACAATATAATTGTCATTTCTTATGAGGCACATCATAGTCAAATTCCTAGTATTTCAACTTATTTCTTACTTTTGATGTCAAAGTTAACCAAATAAAGAAAAAAACACGGCTTTCTTTGTCCCTAATTACACATTATCGTCTAATTACCTTCTTTATCTCTCCAGTACTACATAAATTAAACTGAACCGTCTATTTAGGGATAATAGGATGGAAGCTCACACAAGCTAACAAACCTGCTTTCTGCATAACGAGTTAAGCATAGCAGCATATTTACAAAAAAAATTTGGTACCTCAACCCCAAAACCGATTACCAAACCGAACACTAAGTTTTACAAAATTATAAACTGCTAACTGATCAAAAAATCGAATAAATCGAAATTGTCGGTTCGGTCTATATTATGCCCGACCCTAGTTTGGCTGGAAATAAGAAAACACAATGGAAAATCACACTATATACTTTGTGGACATGGATAGAGGCAGAGCCAGATTTTGAAGCTTATGAGTTCATAATTCTAATTTTTTTAAGTTATTGAGTTCTAAATTAATAATTTGTACATATTTAATACAATAAATATTAATATAATACAAATATTGAATTTGAACCAAAACTACTGGGTTCGATCGAATCCAAGGCTAGCTCCACCCCGAACATGGAGCAAGGTTCCCAATAACAAGGAAAGAATTAAAATTCACTGAATTACACAAGGCTTTGTGAGGACAATCGTCCAACATAAGGGTGTTTGGCTCATCATATTCACCCCTCCCAGGGAAGTCCTGGTTCAAACTTCTCCCATATGGGTGGTAAACGGGCTGGTCGAGTCGGATATGGGTCAGGTTACAAACAGGTAATGCAAAACGGATCAATTATTTGACCCGACCCATATTTAATATGGATAAAAAATGAGTTAATCGGCAGATAATATAGATATTTATATTATCAATGACTTCTTGAATATGATCACTTTTGGGAGAATTCCTAATCTCTCAAACTTGAGGAACCCAATTTGAGGCTTTACAAATATAAAAGTTAAACACATTAGTTATCCATTGGTTATTTATTTTATAAGTGGATAATATGGTTCTTATCCATATTTGACACGTTTTTAAAAAGTTCATTAATTATCCAATCCATTTTTAATAAATAATATGGGTGGATAACTGTTTTCTTTTAACCATTTTGCCACCATTATTCTCCCATAACCTATTGAGCTTCTTCAAAATAATAAGCTTGCGTCTCCTCTACCAACAACAGAGAAACCAGTAGAGAGACTCAATGCCATAACCAAATATTTCGTTGAAGGTGTTCAAATTTTGAAGAAGCAAATATTTTTTTTCTAATGAATGAGTGCACTAAATAAAAAAAATATCTGATGAATGGGTGCATTGAGAATCCATTTTTCCTTTTTAAATCAAGATTCATCTACAAGTTTAATGCCATTTGTAGTATAGAATTAAAATGTCTTACAGAAAAAAGAAAGGTACCAAACAAAAAAAAGGCGAGCTTAAGCAAATAAAAATGCAGATAGGGTCGAATTCACAGCAATGTCGAATTAAACATAAGGTTAAAAAATTTACATACTATACATCAAAAAAATGTGTAAGTTACCGCGTTTTGAACCATGTGTTACGGCCTACCAGTACTTGGAATTTTCTCTATTACAAAAATTAATGCGAGTCATTATTAGTAGATTAACTTTTTTTCAAATTATATATTACTCCTTTTACTTTTTTGCTTGTATTTAATAAACGTCCCGCTTTGACTTTCTATGACCATGGAGGGTTAAATTTGCGGCTAAAAACATTCTAGAACTCAATTTGAAATCTTCCCATTTGATTTTTTCACTGTAAAAGAAAACAAGAATGGTGGGAGGATTTTGAAGGGCTGAGAAACTCAACACGGGAGAGAGAGAGAGAGAGAGTTGGGCTCAGATGTTTTGGGGGTTCTGTTGGGCTTAAATGATGTTAGAAAAATGTCTTTTGAGACTAATAGCCTGTTTGTTTTTTGTTTTTTTTAGACAACAGTGTTTTTTTATGTTGCCAAAAGCAGGGGTGGAGCTAGCATAAGCCTTGCGAATTTGGTCTAATAGTAATTTTGGTCCAAATTTTATATTTATTTTAAAAAATTCATAGAATATAATATAAATTATTAATTTAGAACTCATTAATTTAAATAAGTTAGAACCCCGAACCCGTAATATTCAAATCCTGGCTCCACCTCTGGCCAAAAGTGATTTTTTTTAAAGTTAAAGTAATTGGTCAAATTTTTAGAAGGAAAAAAAAATCTTTTGAGTATAAGCAGAAACAATTTTTGAAAAACAGAAAAAATAGCTTCTTTCTAAAATATTTCTTTGAAAAACACTTTTGAGAAAAATACAAATAAAAATACTTTTTAAAAGTTCGACGAAACATTAATTGTTGCTTAAAATTATTTTTTAAATTAATTAATCAAATATAAATTACTTCTCACTAAAAAATACATTAAAATAAATACTTTTCAAATAAGTTTGGTCAAAAGCTACGGAAGATAACATTTGTCTCATTTCAAATTGTTCACGGGTTCGACAAATTCACCAATCACTTTATCTAGTGCATTTACAACTAGTAATTTAATCATAAAAGAGTAACCACGTGAACCAGACAAAGCTAAAAAGACAGGGGTCAAAAAGAAAATTAAAAAATTTACAAAACCGACCTCCCATTATCCCGTTATTATTTGCACTACAGTCCTGTCCAGGCACCCACTATAGACTTTAGTCGTACCTATAAAAAGCCCTACTGCCTTTTCAGGGTAATTTCTCCGTTTCTTCTCTCCACAGATCTGATCCCTACTACTCAGGTACCTGCTCTCTCTTTTTGCTACTCCGTTTGAATCTCTTTTTTAAAAGTTGAATCTCATTTTGTTGTCGATCGTCTTCATCTGGATCGGCGTTTTGGTTTAACATTTATATACGCATCATTCGTTTTATTTTATAAAAAATTTCGTGGTTTCAGATCTGAGTTTAGAATGCTGCTGCGATGGCGAGTTTTAATTTTTAGCGATTTTAGCGATTTATGAATTATGATTGCTTGTCGGTAGATTTTCATCCATGGAGCTCGTTATAAACTGTTCATCATCTCGCGTTATTGTTAGTTTTAAATGTATTAACTATTCATTATCATGCACTTATATAATATATGTGTGTGAATGTGCATTGCTGGCTGGCTTTTCATGTCACTCTCAGGGTTTCGTTCAGATGAAATTCCAAAAATTAATTTAAAGGAATTAATAGAAGAAACTGATAAACTTGACAGAATAAATCAAATTTGACATTCCTGACAGTTATTGCTATTATTTCATTTATCAGTATGTTTTCTGGTTCTGGATGATTTAACAATGACTAAACTTGCATTTCCTGTAATCAGATGTTGTTTTTGCAATCTGCAATGCGGTAATGTGCTGGAAATTTGTGTTTATGCCTAAATTTTTGGTGTAAGACTTGATTTCCTTGGTTGGAAGTTTGCTTCCTAATTGAGTGATGTTATCTGGTTTAGGTAGATGGACGAGTCAATTTGGTCTGAATGGATACAAAAGCTACAATTCGAAGTTCATAGATTCAGATAGATATGAGTTCTATGTCTACAGCTATTTCATTATCATGCATCTAGTAATCTACATGGGTCATAATAGGGCAAACTTCTGTATATATATTTACAATATTTATGCCGTACTAGTTTTGATGATATCCTTAATTGTAGTCATGTCTTACCAAGTTTTGAATTGTCTGTGATTTCTTAATAGAATTGCTTAGTTTCTTATAAGGTGGTTCATTGGAAAGAGAAGTTATATGCTAAAGCCCCTTATGTGATTCTGTTACTTTAGTTTACATGTCACAGACACCCATATTATGGTTCATCTTTATGAGGTACATTGGAGTGGGTCATAGAGCTTATTTGTACTTCAGAAGTTTTGGTTACAATGTTTTACAATCGTTTCTGAGAATGTGTGCTGCTGCTTTGAGCAGAATTTAGCATTTAAAAGTTGAGAGATCATGGGTCGTCGTGGAGTCAGTAGCGGTGGAGGACAGAGTTCCTTGGGTTACCTCTTTGGAGACGGTGAGGCTCCAAAACCTGCTGTCACCAAGGTAGAAGCTCCACAGAATCAGGGAGCAACTACAAGTGATCCACAGAAAACTACTGCAGCTGCAACAGCTGCAAATGCTAATAAGCAGATTCCAGCTGGCATCCAGGGGAGCAACACCAATAACTATTTCCGCGCAGATGGACAAAACACTGGGAATTTCCTCACGGTATGATCCAAATCATTTTTCTCTCAAAGTAGGTTTTAGCATTTCCTTGCAGATTACTTATCCCCTCCTACTTATTGGTTTCTTTCTTTATGATTCACCTCATGGCTTTGATCAAATAAAATAGTTTTTGAAATGACTGCTTTCAGAAGGTGAGTTTGACATGGAAGCAGTGCTTTTATGAAGAAAATTCTTTTCCATTCTCTGTTTAGTTCAGTACTATATGCTTCTTACATTCTTAATTCTGTCACCCCTTCGTTTCTTGCTGCTTCAGTAGAAGCACTTCTACTTTCCAAGTAGGTCAATTGAAGCAGTGGCGAAGCTAGGAATTTTCCCAAGGGTATTCAAATTTTGAAAGAAGTGAAAAAAAATTCTCGACAAAGGGCGTTCAATATGTGTTATATACCTCTAAAATGTAATATTTTACCTATATACACAGTGTAATTTTTCGACAAGGGGTGGTCAGTTGACCACCCTTGTGACCACACTGAATTGAAGCAATTAACATGATAGGTTCCTTTATTACCGTTTGCCATTTTCGGGAGGTAATTGAGGATAAAGCATCTTTTTCTTCTTTATGAAGGAAGTTCTTTTCCGTCTGCTATTTAGTTCAGTATTACATGCTTCTTGCATTCTTGATTCTGTCACATGACCCTTGTGTCAATTGCTGCTGCCCAAGTTTTGTAGCACTTCAGGAGGGGAATTTGAGGACGGGACTATCCTCTTCTGCAGATATTTTTTCCATTTTCATCTAGCTCAGTAGCATCAGCTTCTTGCATTGCTAATTCTGTCGCATCATATTCCCTTTTTCTTGTCTAGTTCACAGGGTGATATTATCTTGTCAATTAAATGTTTGAATCTTGTCTCTTTCCAGGATCGCCCATCTACCAAAGTGCATGCCGCCCCTGGTGGTGGATCTTCCCTGGGTTACTTGTTTGGCGATGGCAAAAACTAGTTCCTTCTGTCCAAAGATGAAACTGTGTTTTCATGAAAAATGATGAGACTGCTGTTACTGTGTGTTGGTTTGTTTTGTGTCTGGGAATACAGTGTCGGCATTTGGATGATCCAATTGTAATATGATAATCCTTTCCTACTCACCGTTGGGATTCAACCGGACAAGCTTCAACTGTGAACAATCCCCAATGCATGCTTACAGAAATCAAGTTTTAGTTCGTGCTACTGTTGTGTTAGGATGCAATTATTTTCAAAAAAACTCAACGTTTTGCTAAAATGATTATGAACATGCATGATACTGCAACAATTGCTCTCCTCATTGTAAAAATGTTTTAGCGATATTATGATATCTACAACTGAAAATATTCAGAGTGGTAATTCAGTGAATGGCATTATAATTACCACGGAAACCATTTTAAATTAATGAAAATTTCTCAGCTTAAAAAATTGTACGCTGAAATGCTATCTATAATCAGCCTTGCATGAATTTATTATGTTCTTGTCATTAGATGACTCGAATAATAACATTGTGAAATCCTCGAGGAAGTGCTCTTTTATGAGTAGAACATGGTGAACTGCAGCAATTGATTGTCAGGAAGGGTTAATAAGCATTGGTGCTTCACAGTTACAAAGACAGCTTGGCGATAAGACTGGAAAATTTGTAATTTGTTTTCTTTCAGCTTCTAGTACGTATTAGCTTAGATGGTGATCACTGTCCCCACAGTGAATATGGGTGAAAGGACAGTGGTATCAGATGATATTGATTCTTTGCCACTGGATCTTTACCCAAACATATCCTGATTCGTAAACCCGAGGAAAATGAAAATGTGAAATTCCCATGCAGGTTGTAGAGAAAATGGTTCAATTCCCTCGGCCACCTTCACATTAAGTTGGCTCTTCACTCTCCCGTCCCTCATACACCACC